TGTTAGTGCAGGTGGGCGATTGCCCTGAGTTGAGGACCCACGTGGGAGGAGACACGTGAATACCCCGCAGGGAAAGCTGCACACGGGCTGCAGACATTCCCTGAGGCAACACGGTCCCTCAGCGTCTGCGAGTTCTACATCCTCAGAGCCAGTCAACCTCACACTGAAAATGTTAGAAAGACCATCGTGTCTGTACCGAACGTGTTCAGACTTGGTTCTTGTCACTGATCCCTAAGCAATACTCTGAAGCAACCATTTACATAACATTTCTATGGTTTTGGTAAATGTAAGTCTTCTAGAGATGATTTAAAGCCCGTGAGATGATATGCAAATACCAGGCCATTTTATATAAGGCACTCGAGCACCTCCATGGATTTTGGTATCCATGGAGGAGGAAGGTCCTGGAATAAAAGATTTAATCCCCAGTACCCATCCCATCCTCTCTAAAACAAACAAAACCAACCCCCAACCCGCTGGGGTTACTTAGGCAATGGGGCAAGTACAGTCCTTCCAAGTGGGCGTCTGGTTGGTTTAGCTCAGGTTTTTTTGGTTTTTGTTCTTTGTTTTTTTGTTTTTTAGGGAAAGGGGTTAGTACTGGGGATGAAACCCAGGACCTTCAAACTGAGCTATGTCCCCAACCCATTTTTAGTTTTTATTTTGAGTCAGGGTCTCACTAAGTCACTAAGTTGCTCAGGCTGGGTTTGAATTCACAATTCTGCTCAGTCTCCCAGCAACGGGAGATGTTGCCGAGTCACCTCCAGCTGTGGGGAGTGCGGACGGAGTGTGCAGTATCGGAGGAGACCGAGCAACCCAGCCCGAAGAAGGAGATGCCCCTGAGCCGTGGAAACTTCCAGAACAAGAGACCCCCTGGCACCCCCAGGCGCCCCCGTGTCTGTGCATTGGCCTCGCCCTCTCTCACTGCACACTGGCATCTCCCGTGAGACGCCAGGAGCATCTGCTTCTCAGCCCCCACAGCGCAGCGTCCAAAGAGGGGACGACTGCTGGGCTGAGAGGTGTCGCTCCTTGGAGGCCATGTCATGGTCAACGCAGGATGATGGCTGCGTGGGCCGGAGAGGACAGGCTGCAGGGAAGACCCACAGACCTCTAGGCCTAGGCAAGATGTCTGTGCTGGTGTGGGTGAGCTGCCCTTCTCCCCTCGGAGTGACGGTCGCCTTTCTCTCTCCACCTTCCCCCTTTCTAGATATGGAACCCAGGCTTCCTTGTCGGGTCCCTTCCTGACCTCTGTGATGGGGAAATTGACGGGAGACCGAGAGTTCTGGCAGCTCCTCCAAGCCCCTGACACCCCTCTTCTGCAAGGTGAGTCTGGTGGCCTGCCAGCCCGTCCCTGTTCCTACCCTAACCAGCAGGGAGGCTTCACCAACTCACCCCACCCAGCCTGCCTGCTGCCTGCCTTCCCTCCCTCCCTCTTCCTGTCTTCCTTCTTTCCTTTTGTTTTTTGAGACAAGGTCTTACTACGTAGTTGAGACTGACCTGGAACTCACTTTGTAGCCCAGGCTGGTCTCAAACTCACAGGGATCCTCCTGCCTCAGCCTCCCAATTACTGGTATTACAGGTGTGCGCCACCACGCCTGGCTCCTTCTTCCTTCTTTCCCTCCCTCCCTCTTCAGTACTGGAGATTCAATCTAGGAACCCTAAATTGTCCAAGCTGGGCTCAAATTTGCCATCCTCCTGCCTCTGCCTCCAAAGTTCTAGGATTACAGTTGTACACCTCAACACTTGGCTGATATTTTAAAAAGTAGGGCTGGGGATTTAGCTTAGTGGTGCTGCACCTGCCTTGGAAGTGTAAGGTCCTGAGTTCTCTCCCCAGTACAGCAAAAAAAAAAAAAAAGACAGGAAAGGGATTTAGCTCAGTGGTGCCACCGCCTGCCTCACAGATGCAAGGTCCTGAGTTCCATCCCCGGTACCAAAAACTAGAACTAATAAATAAATTTGCCAGGTGTAGTGGCACATGCCTATAATCCCAGAATTCAGGAAGCTGAGGCAGGAGGATTTCTATGAGTTCAAGGCCAGCCTGGGCTACCTAGTGAGTTCAAGATCAGCCTGAACTATAGAGTGAGATCCTGTTTAAAAAACAAAACAAAACAAAACCCAGCAACATGTGTAATTTAAAATTTCTAGTTGCTGAAACTATTACAACATATCTTATTCAACTCAGTATATTAAAATATCATTCCAAAATATGATCAATGTAAAATTATTAATGACACGTTTTACATACTTTCTTCTCATTTATTTTCCCAGGGACTCAATGGCATAAGTCACTTCTCTGCTGTAGCGTTTTGAGATTCCTTGTAGCTTGTTTTGTTCAGGCTGCTGTAACAAAATCCCATGAACTGGATATTTCTACACCACAGAAATCTATTTTTGCACAGTTCTGAAGGCTCAAAAGTCTGAGATCAAAGAGCCAGCAGATTTGGTGTCTGATGAAGACCTGTTTTCTGGTTAATATTTGGCCACTTTTAGCTGTGTCCTCCCATGGTGAAAGGGACAAGGCAGCTTGATGGACCTGTTTTATTTTTGTTTGCTTGCTTTTTGAGACAAGGTCTTGCTATGTAGCCCAGACTGGCCTTGAACTTGGGATCCTCCTGCCTCGGCCTCCCAAGTGCTGAGATGACAAGGTGTGTGCCACCACACCTGGTTGGACTTTTTTTGTTTGTTTGTGTTTTTGAGACAGGGTCTTGCTATGTAGTTCAAACTGGCTTTAAACTCACTGTATAGTGCTGGCCTTGAACTTTCAGGGATCCTCCTGCCTCAGCTTCCCGAGTGCTGGGATTACAGGCATGTAGTGCTAGGATTACAGGCATGTGCCTGGCAAAGATTAGTGCTTTTGTTTGTTTGTTTTGGTACCGGGGATTGAACTCAGGTCCTTGTGCTTACAAGGCAGTCAGCAGAACCATTGAGCTAAATCCCCGGCCCCAAGATTAGTGCCTTTTAAAAGAGGCCTGAGCCAGGTGTGGCAGCACATGTCTGTAATCCTAGCACTTGGTAAACTGAGCCGGGAGGATTCCCAAAAGTTCAAGGCCAGCCTGGGATGCTTACTGAGTTTAAGACAAGCCTGAACTACATAGTGAGACCCCTACCTCTAAATACATACATACATCATACATCACACACACACACCACTGTAACCCAATTCTTGAAGTTTCTACCCTCGTGACCTAAATACCTCGCAAAGGCCCCACCTCTAATACCTCCGCCTTGGTGCTTAGATTTCAGCACAGCATTTAGATCATGGCATGTCCATTAAAATGAAACCTCTTTGGCTCCTGGATTCTCAGAGGAGCCTTCCAGCTCCCCTGCGAGTTGCTGGTATAATTTCTGTTTGTTTTCTGCGCCGGGGTGGAACCCAAGGCTCATGCATCCTGGGGAAGCACTCTACCAGGAGCTCCCTGCCTGACCCAGCTGTCGGTAACCACTAGCGAGAACTCCAGCATTCAGAGGTTAAATCCCCTGCTCAGGGGGCCCATGAGTGACAGGGCTGGGGCTTGAACCCAGGTGTCTTAGTGGAGACTGGGTCCTGCAGAGCACAAAAGGAGACTTCTTCTGTGGTCCTGGTTCTCCCTCCAGACCACACTTAGAAGTCACTCTTCCTGATGGCCCTCCGGGTATTACACAGACAGTGTCCCTGCCCATCAAGCATTGTCAGGGTCCCTGGTTCCTTCTACCTTGTGCTTATTATCCAGCGTGCAGCCTGGTACCCCATTCTCTGCGAGCTCCACACTGCGAAACGAGCCTTTGAAAGCTGGTCCAGGGACTCCCAACTGGCCCTGGACAGGTCCCAGCTTCCTACCACCCAGCTCTGAGTGGATCCTTACAGAGCCTGGCTTCAGGGTGGGGGCCCCGCCCTGCTCAGCCTCATACTCTGTGTGTTTCTGCAGGTATTGCTGACTACAGACCACAGGATGGAGAAACCATTGAGCTGAGACTGGTTAGCTGGTAGCCCTGGGTCTCTCACCCCGCGGCCTTGCACACTCCCTGGGCCTCTGTCCTCTTCGCTGACATCCTGGTACCCGCGCTTGCCTGACCCTGAAGCCACCTCCTGTGTATTTGGAGCACCGCCCCCTGGATCATCTCACCCAGCACCTCTGCGAGGATCTGAGCCACGTCCTGCACCGGAGCAGGGAGCCCAGCACCTCCTCTGGGAAGCCACAGGCCTCAGGAAGTCTATCTGAAGGGCATGTGGCTCTCGGACTCCTCAGCAGAGGAGGAAAGGCATCGTGAGCACCACTGCTCCGGGACTGGGGCTCTGCGAGGAGGCCTCCATGGCCCAGGGGCTGCTGCCCCGACCCCACATCTCCACTCTTTTGTCACGGTGGTGGCCCTGGAGCCGGCTGTGGTGCAGTGGCTGGTGAGACCGAGGTAGGGCTGCTCAGTGCCTACCTCTGAAATGATTAAAGTCTTGATTGTCTGAGCATGTGCTGCAGCCTCCTGGTGCTTCACACCTTGGCAAGCTTGGGACAGGGGGCAGAGAAGGGGGAGGAGGGTGGCCCATGAGAGCGCTCGCCTTGGTGTCAGAGGAGGATGCTGACTGTGTCCACCCTGACTGCCATTTTCTGAGCACCAGCTTTGCTAGGTGCTGGCACATCTCTGTGAGTCAGTATTTTATTCTCACCTCTGATTTTTTGTTTGTTTGTTTGTTTGTTTGTTTGTTTTTTTGAGACAGGTCTCACTATGTGGTTGAGACTAACCTGGAACTCACTAGGTAGCCCAGGCTGGTCTTGAACTCACAGAGATCCTCCTGCCTCAGCCTCCCGAGTGCTGGGATTACAGGGGTGCGCCACCACACCCAGCTTCATTTCTGATTTAGAGATAAAGACATTAGTGCTGCAAAAGGGACAGTGACGCACTCAAGGTCACAGACTAGGCAGTGGTGCTGTGGAAGGAAAGGCACGTAGCTTAGGGGTGTAGCCATGAGCTGGAGCTGGGCACAGTGGCACTCATGGAACAGCTGAAGCGGGAAGGTGCTTGAGTCCAGGGGTTTGAGGCAACATGGCAATGTGCCAAGGCCTTGGTTCAAAGAAACAAATATGAAGCCAGATGTAGTGGTGCACACCTGTAATCCCAGCACTCTGGGAAGCTGAGGCAGGAGGTTTGCAAGTTCAAGCCCAGCCTGGGCAATTTAGTGACTTAATGTGAACCTGTCTCCAAGTTAAAAAAAAAAAAATGAAAAGGCTGGAGATATGGGTCAGTGTAAAAGCCCTGAGTTCAATCCCCAATACCACCCCCTGCCCACGTTTATAAGAAAAAACAGACAGAAAGAAAGAGAGAAAAGGAGGAAGAAAGAGAAGAGAGAAGGAGGGCGGGCAGGAGGGAGGAGAAAAAAAAATAAACCAATGAGCTGAGGAAGCCACCTGGCTTCTCTGCTCAGACTCTGAAAGCTGGGGGCGTCAGTGGCTGCTGAGCCTCATTTCAACTAGAGGCCGGGGTCTTGCCCTGTTTTTAAAAGCCAAGGTGCCCCAGGGCACCACCACAGGCCTCTGCAGCCAGCATGTGGGCACCGTGCCTCTCAGCTGAGGCTCTGGCCTGGCCTCGGGCAGTGGGGTCAGCCCAGGGACTCATGCCCTGTGCCTCCCTCAAGGCCTGGGTCGGGTCTGCCTCGGAAGGGAGATGCTCGGGTCCTTGAAGCTGCAGGTTAAGCACGTGCCTCCTCCTAGAGCACTAACTTCAAATCCCTAATTAGGATCCAGTATTAGGGCAGCAAGTGACTGAAAACGTCCTTCTACCCTGAAACAGACAGGAGAGTAGCGGGAAGTCCGGGGAAAATCAGCCCGTTTTTAAGGTGAAATGCCTCAATCCAGAACTCTGGAGTGCTTTTCATTTGCATTCCTTCATCGAGGCGTAGGGGTGGGGGAGCAGGACCTGCCCTGCGACTCTCCCTCACGTCCCGTCTCAGGGGTGGAGGCCCTGTCACACAGCCTGTGGGTCGAGGACTGAGATCCTCGGCTCCTGGTCTCAGTGCGGGACACTTGCCGCTGCTTTGCGCCTTAGGACAGGGCGCTCCCATCCGGACTGGGTGTGCCGGGCTAAAGGAAAGTTGAAAGGTCCTGGAGCTGGGTTTGCCACTCTCCAGGGGAGCCGTCTTGGTTGGGGTGTACTGGCTCTGAGGAGCAGGAAGCTGCTGAATCCTGCTCGAATGGAAGGGTGTTTTCCGGAGAGACCCATCACCCCGCACTCAGCGCAGCCGAGAGTGATAGTAAACTTGAAGCCGAGGGTTGGACCTCTTCCCCGCTACCCTCAGCCCCTCTGTCTCTGCAGTTCCTCTGGGTGCAGCCCTAGCCAAGACTCCTCTTTCTGTCCTTTTTCCCCCCAATCCTGGGGATTGAGCCTACGGGTGCTCTACCACTGAGCTACATCCTCAGCCTTTTTTATTTTTTATTGAGATTGAAGTCTCACTGAGTTGCCCCGGCTGGGCTTGAACTTGTGATCCTCCTGCCTCAGCCTCCCAGGGTCCTGGGATTACAAATGTGCAACCGTGTCCAACTCCCAGCCAAGGTTCTGCCGCCTTCCAATTCGAGCCCCCAGGTTCTTTTCACCTTCTGAGTCTATATCCCAAAGTCACTGGGCCACTGGGTCAGGTATGTAGCCTGGCACAATAAGCAGGAACCCAGCGAAGCCAGGGATGAGGGGACGGTCATGTTTGACTCCATTAAAACTTCACCATTAAAGCTGGGCGTGGTGGCGCACACCTGCAATCCCAGCACTCGGGAGGCTGAGGCAGGAGGATCGCTGTTGGGTTCGAGACCAGCCTGGGCTACATAGTGAGTTCCAGGTCAGTCTCAAGTACATAAGGAGATCCTGTCTCAAAAAAAAAAAAAAAAAAAAAAAAAAAAAAAAACAAAAAAAAAAAAAAAAAAAAAAAAAAAAAAAAGACTTCACCATTAAGAGTCTGGGGGGGCACACCTGTAGGGCTAGGGACCAGGCTGCATCTAGCCTCTCTGTCACTCTCTCATCGCTGGGACACAGTAACTGACATCCACAAATTGCGGGAGGAAAGGTTTATTTTGGTTCACAGTTTGTAGAGGGTTCAGTCCATAATCAGGGGGCTTCAAGGCAGGGTGGCATGGGAGAGGGGCATCGCAGAGGAGAAATAGCTCATGGTGTGGCGTTGGGAAACAGAGATCAAGGGAGGAGGAAGGGAGATAGACTTCCAGGCCACACCCACAGTGACCACCTCCTATGACCAGACTTCACTTCCCCACTTACGAGTGTCATGACCCCATGATTCATTCAGTCCTCTCCCAAAGCCGCGTCGTGAGCGCATTAGGCTTTAGAGGGCCATCTAGATGCAAACCCTCACACCTGCATTTAAACCTGAGTGGTTCCGGACTAACCACTTCTACGCCTAGGCCTGTTTCCTGACTCACAGCTGTGGGGTGTCTTGATCTACAGCATGTCCAGGGCTGTGATCCCATCGCATCACACACGGGGAAACTGACACCAGGGTCGTGCGGTGATAAGGGGAGAGGTCCATCCCAGTTTCTATGATCCATTTGCTAGAAAGGAGCTCTTTCTCCCGTCCCAACGTCCCCCGGAGTTCCTCTCCACATCGTCTGCTTCTCAGCACCAGCGTGGGCCCCTTCAAGGGCCCAGATCGGAGGGACGCGGGCAGGTGTGGGTGGATGCAGTCTCCAGAGTTTTCAGGTTGACTCCAAAGAATGTGAAGGACCCCCTGCCCCCATGAAGGGGGGCACTCTGGACCCCCATCCCCCCAAACAGAATGCTCCTGGGCACCTGGGTTCCTTCCCCTGGCTCAGCCCTCAGTCTGTGGGGAAGCCATTCCACACCTGCCTCCAGATAACCGAGGGGCAGGTGAGATGAAGCCCCCCATCCCTAGCAGTCTGTAGAGTTTTTCTTCTGTACCCCTTCCCTGCTGGGTTCCCATTGGGTGTGGTCACTGCTGGTCATCTTTGGGCTTGGCCCTCAGATGCCCCCGCCCCAGGGCTGTGCGTGGCTCTCTTCATTCCATTCTGGCCTCACTTTACTAATCGGTTTTCCTCATAGCCACCTCTCACCAGCAGGGAAGGAGGGAGCCACTCGGTGGTCGTCTGAAGTGGTGTAGACACGCCGTCTGGGAAGTGGTGTAGACGGTCTCACGCCCAGCGCCCCTGCCAGCTCAGCACGCAAAAGCTCAGGTTGTTTTTATTGCTGTTTTGTTCTGAGGGGTGTGGATGGAGACCAGGTCTCATTAGGTAGCCCAGGATGGCCACAAACTTGCAATCCTCCTGCCTCAACCTCCTGAGTGGTGAGATTACAGGAGTGCATTGTGTCACACCTGGCTTGATTTTCAGTGTAATTTTTAGTATTTTTTTTAATCTGAGGAAACTAAGAATACAGAAAAAATCCTAATCCTAAACCCACAGGGGACCCAGATTGCTGCTACTCAAGAAATGTGGTGGTGGTAGCAGCTCCTCCCTTGGATGGCTCAGTTTCTCTCTCAGAATTCCTTCGGGAGATGCCCTGACTAAATGTCTCCCTGCTTTGCTCCTCAGTCTGGAAATCCCTTTATCTGTACCCACTGGCCTGCAGTTTGGGCCGTTCAGTAATCTGGTGTCAGGATCCTGGGGTGGGGGGGATACGAGACGGTGCTGATTCCTGGGCCCAGCCCCAACAGAGAGGTCTGGATCCTTAGGTCTCCGGTGAGGTTCAGGGGGCACCGGAAGGAACTCAGGAGCCTGGCCACCGGAGGGCGCAGCGGACCGGGCTTGGCGGCTCCCCTTTACCGTCCAGGCCTCCCGACGGGTGGGGGTCATCGGAGACGTGCGGGTCCACCCGCAGGCGAAGGGTGAGCCTCGTCCCTGTGGGCTGGAGCTTCTGCAGGGGAAGGAAGCCCGGCGACTGGAAGAGGTTCCCAGCCGGCCCTGGGCTCCTGCTGGGGGCCAGGCGTGGAATCTGGGTCGGCTGGTCCTGCTCTCGGGGCGCTATTTACCCCACCCTGAGCTCAGGGAGCATCTGTCTGTCGGATGGGAAAATTGAAATCCAGAGAAGGGCAAAGACTTGGGAAGCTGCTTTCCCCTCCAGGACCGGGCTCTTTCCCCGGGGCTGGGGGAAGGTGTGGACCCTAGGAGTCCAGCTCCTTGTGGACTCCCGAGTGCCCAGGGCACAGAGTAGCGACTGCTGGCCAGGGATGGATGCCAGCCGGCGGTACTCGGCTTCCGCGGCTGTGGGCAGCCTTGGTGATTCAGCTTCCCTTCGCTGTCCCAGATGGGGCGCCGCCCTGGGCTGGGAGGAAGGCGAGGATGTCGAGGCTAGGAGGGGCGGTGGAGGGGAACATGCAGCTCTGCTGGATGTCGAGATCGCACGAGGTAACCGGCCGGGGATCCGCTGACCCTGAAACGTCCTAGGGTGTGGCCCGTGGGCCCCGCTTCAGTGTCCTACTCCTGGACACGAGGGGGTCCTCGTCCCCAGCCGAGGCGAGGACACAGGACAGGATGACAGCTCCAGCCTGGGGTGTCTGAGCCGCAGACGCGCCGAGGAGGGGGCGGGGC